AGCAAGGGACCCAGAATTAGCAAAGAAGCAGGCTACTTTGAAACGGGAAAACTCCAGACTGTATGATACATGAAAGCCAAGGGAAGAGTAGGGTTCACTGAGGAGAGAAGGTTCTATCATGCCAAATGCCACTGAGGGCGTCAAGTAAGGTGAGACTGAATTGTTCAGTAAAGTGGAGACAGACTGCCAGCGGCTCGTTAAGAACAGTTTCAGTGGAACAATTGTTGGTTTATTTGAATGTGTTCAAGAGAGAATTGAAGAACAGGAATCCAAGAAAGCAAGTTTAGGCAACTTTAGAGGCCTTTGTCGTAAAAGGTTTCAGGGAAATGCAGTGGTGACTAAAAAGGCAATTGGAATCAAAAGTTTTGTTTTGCTTTGTTTTTTAACTAGTGGATACATAGGAGTGTGTTTGTACACTGACGGGGATAATCCAGCAGAGAGAGAACATTGATGACTGAGGCAATGAGTGTTGAATTGAGCTCTTGAGCACTGAGAGGGGTGGGGGCTGGTGAACACCAGGGGAGCTGGCCTTGTAGAGCCGGAGGCTGAGTGGGTAGTACACATGCTGGTGGGTGAGCAGAGAAGGTGCTGAGCACTTGTGTGGGTTCTGCTCTGGTCGCTTCATCTTCCCCAGTGAAATAGGATGCAGAGTCATCAGTGGAGAGTAAGAATGGGGAAGAAGGTGTTTAAAGCTTGAGAAAGGAAAATATAAACAGACATAATTTAAAAGAATAGGAATGCCAATGGGCTGGGAAGATGAGGTATGACTGTGGAGCAGCCTCTGGGTCCACTTCAGGGATAGAAAGAAGCACCAGTGTGCAGGGCCTTGCCCCTTCGCCAGCCACAACCAGTTACACAGGGTTAGGCCTGATGTAGGTGGAGAAGAGAGTTTAACCAGTGCTGGTGTTTTGTTGAGTAAGAGGAACAGCAGAGACGAGGAAGCATGTGAGACGCACCTATCGTGATTGAGCATGAAATTTACGCAATGTAAGAAGAAAGGGGAGGGCTTGAAGGGGTTAAGGGACATGAAAATGAGGTAGAAAACACGTCCAGGGATACATGAGAGAGTGAGCTCACCAGCTAGGAGGCATTAATCAGAGTGTGAGGTATGTAAAGCGGAGATTATGAAGCTGTTGAGTAATCCTAAAGTTTAGGTTATATCAGCTGTCCCCAACCCTTTTGGAACTAGGGACCGGTTTTGTAGAAGACAACTTTTCCATTGGGGTTGTGATGGGGGGATGGTTTTGGGATGAAACTGCTCTATATCAGATTATCAGGCATTTGTTAGATTCTCATATGGAGGCCACAACCTAGATCCCTTCGATGCCCAGTTCACAATAGGATTTGCACTCCCATCAGAATCTAATGCTGCTGCTGTTCTGACAGGAGGCAGAGCTCAGGCGGTAATGCTAACCCTGTCCAGCACAGCTCACCTCCTGCTGTGTGGCCTAGTACCTAACAGGCCACTGACCCATAACAGTTTATGACCCAGGAGTTGGGGACCCCTGGGTTATACAATGAGAATAAATCTCTGAGATTGGATGGGAGACAAAATCATTGATGGAGAGATCACATTTCTGATAGGCCAGGAATCTGTATTAAACGACAACTGATTGTGATGTAGGTAATCCAAGGACTGTTTTTTTGTTTTGTTTTGTTTTGTTTTGTTTTTAAAGAACTCTCGTTTTAAGTAGAGTTGATGAGCTAAACACACAAGTTTAGAAGCCAGAAGACATGAGGGGGCTGGAAGAAACAGGAAAGATATTAACAGAATGTGGTGGATGAAGTGTGCTGGACACCATGTTGAATAGTTCACATGCCTCTTTGTATTAGTATTTGTTACTGGCAACAAGACCGAATTCTAGAGATCATTATCATCTCTAATTTACAAATGATGAGCATGAGGGGAAGGGAAGTTAAATAACACACACAGAGATAACTCTGAGTCCAAACTCTGAGCTTGCAACCATTATGCCCAACTGTCTTGACAGGTGCACTGATTATGATAGAGCAGGTAATATTAAAATCCATATTCTAAAATGTGATTACTAGACTTATGAGATTAGAGACTCTTGAGAACAGCATTGTATACAAAGCCCCATAATATACATGATCTCATCTAATCCTCATATTAATCCTGTGTATTAATTTGCTAAGATCATGGGGCCAGTAATTAGCAAAGCCTGGATGTGAAGCTCATCCTCCGACCTCCTGCTTGTAAACTCCTGCCACTAACTACGCATCACCATTACTTTCCAGCTATGGTTCAGACAGCAACCTTAAAGAGACTCTAAATGGTTTTGAATAAATGTATTAATAAGGAACCGTTACTAGTTATTTCTTTTTAGAGCATAAAAAGTTTCATAATTCCTATGTTTCCATGGGAACATTCGTTAGCACAGAATACAGCATTCTTCCTGTTATGGAATGTTCTTTCTATAAATTCATGCATTCACTCAACTAATATTTAATGAGCAAGTAGTCTGTGCATGCGCTGTGCCAGGTGCAGAGGATGCAGTCGAATAAGAAACAGCCTACTCTAGGGGAATCTTTAGTCAGCTCCAGGTCTTAAGCACCTCAGATACTCTGCAGGGCCTTTTCATGCCTGGTGCAATTTAAGACGCTGCCTTTGACCTAGAATATACTCCATCCCTTAGGACCCAGTTACCTAAGAGATCATCCCTCTCCCTAATGGTTTGTCACAGAGTAAGATCACCAGTAGCACCCTGGAGATGAAATCTTAGATTTGGACTCCAGAGAAATAGAATCAGGTTGTTTTCCAAAAAAGGATTCTTCTACTCCAAGAAGACCCAATTTTAAAGCTGGATTTAAAAATATCCCCGTTTGCCTGGCATATTAAGCATCTTAGTGGGACTGTGTTGCCCCTCAGCCATCACTTGGCGATGCCTTTCCCTAGAAATACCGGGATTTGTACATGCCATGTAATCGCGTATACACTCTATAGCTCAACACCCTCCCGCCAAAATGTCAGGCCAAGGCCGAGCAAGGGAAGGTCCTGGGCACCAGGCAATGTATCCAGAGCGCGGGGCAAATTCCACTTTATTCAGGTTGGTGCTGACACAGCCCGTGATATGTAGCACACAGTGCGTGAGGCAGCTCTCTCCACGTGAAGTGAAATTCGTGCACTTCTACTTCATAATGTTACTAATTAAGAATGGCACTATATACTAGATCGAACTCACCTGGCACCTACCACAGAGAGGCGGGGGTGGCTCGGGGCGGGAGGGAGTGTTATGGTTTGCCTCCAGATTTAGAAGATCCAACTGGTGCTTTTAGTGGCAGTGTAACTCGTGTTGCCTCACTTCCCTCCGCTCTTAAAGTATGTGAGTCACGGTATAATTTAAGAATTACACTCTCTCTCTCTTACATTTGCAAAAGTTAAGTGAGACGAATCAAAGCTTAAGTTTTCTTATTAAAAAAATGAAGAGCCTATATTTTGTTTTAAAAATCTCTTAAAACAGCAACATATTTTATATTCTCCTTGAATCACTTCGATAACAGATTTAATTTCGAGTCATTTCTGGAGTTGTGGGACCACACAGCTAGTTTGCAATCCCTATAGCTTTAAGAGAAGGTATTTCTAGTTTTGGAGTAGGGAGTAGGGGAGGTGGCGCCAGCTCTGGGCTCCGCCACTCGCCGCCCGCGGGCCGGGGGCGGGGTGGTACTCGGTTTCCCGTGGCTGCCGGCCGCGCCCTGCCGCCCCACCACGCCCAGTGCCGCCGCCAGGGGTGCTGCGCTTCCCACCTGCCGGAGGACGCCGCGAGGGCCGGTGCGGGACCCACGGGGCTGCAGCTTCTCCTGGCTCAGAGCTTCCCGGCCGCCGAGAGCGCTCGAGGGACCCGCGTGGGGCGTGGGCCTGGGCCACGGAGGGCCCGAGCGCCTCCGCACCTGCCCGAGCTGGGTCACCCCCGCCCGCCGGAGAAGCCTGGAGCCCTCGGAATGCCAGCTACTTCCCTCGAGGGCTCTGGCTCGGGGCTCCCCGCGGACCCGCCCGCCCTCAGCTGTAGGCGCAGCACCAGGCTCCGCGCTCCGGGTCCAGCACGCCTTTCTCTCCCAGGCTCTCTCCTGCATGGTCGGGCACGCCCACTGCCGCTGTTGGCCTCGGAGCCCGGGCGCCCGAGTAACACCCGTTCTCCCCACCGTCGTGGGCCCCAGCCGCGCTCCCAGCCCCTCGGCTGCTGGCGGCTCCGGGTGCCGGCGGCTCCGAGTGGAATACAAAGAGGCCTGCGCCTCCCTGGCCCTCGCCGCCGCCACACCCGTCCGTGCCCACTCTCCGCGGTCCTCCGCGAGGGCTGCACGCGGGGGCCCCTCCTCCCGGCGCGCTCCTCCCCCTCCCCTCCCCCAGGTGTCGCTCAAACCCACCCAGCGTTCCAGATATCCCCTGAGTGGGGGCTTTGACTGTCTCCCTCAGGCCCCCTCGGCCGCTTCTCCCGGCCCCTGGGACCCGCCAGGCCCGTCCCCCCACCCTCCGCCCGCCGCTCCCCTCGGTCCCGGCCCCTCCTCCAGGGCCCTCCTCCTCGCTCGCCCCTCCCGAGCCAGGGTGGGAACGGCGGCAGCTGGAAGAGAAGGGATGAGGTCATCCTCTCCCTCGGAGTCAGCTGGTGGAGGAGAGGAAGCGGGAGGAGGGAGCGCGCGCGAGGGGAGGAGAGGAATGTGCAGGTCCGAGGAGCGCCGCGGCGGCCGCTGCTGCTCCTGCTGCTGGAGGCGGCGGCGGCTCGGGCTGCAGCCGCGAAGCTGGGACGGCGAGGAGCGCGGGCGGCGGGCAGGGGCGCGCGCGGGGCGCCCCGAGCAGCTTGGCTCCGCGCAGGCAGCCAGGCGGCGCTCCTGCCGGATCCAGGCGCGCCGCTAGCCCAGCCCAGCGCCCAGCCCGGCGGGCAGCGGGCGGCGGGCGACCGGCGCAGGAGCAGGAGGAGGGGGAGCCGCGCCGCCTGGGAGGGAAGCCGGGGCGAGGCGAGGAGGTGGCGGGAGGAGGAGACAGCGGGGAAAGGTGTCAGATAAAGGAGGGCTCTCCTCCCGAGTGGAGGCATCATGGCCGCTAAATCAGACGGGAGGCTGAAAATGAAGAAGAGCAGCGACGTGGCGTTCACCCCGCTGCAGAACTCGGACCACTCGGGCTCGGTGCAGGGATTGGCTCCGGGCTTGCCGTCGGGGTCGGGAGCCGAGGACGAGGAGGCGGCCGGGGGCGGCTGCTGCCCGGACGGCGGTGGCTGCTCGCGCTGCTGCTGCTGCTGCGCCGGGAGCGGCGGCTCCGGGGGCTCGGGCGGCTCCGGCGGCGGCGCTGGCGGCCCGGGCGGCGGCGGGGCGGGCTCGGCGGCGCTGTGCCTGCGCCTGGGCAGGGAGCAGCGGCACTACTCACTGTGGGACTGCCTCTGGATCCTGGCCGCCGTGGCCGTGTACTTCGCGGACGTGGGCACGGACGTCTGGCTCGCCGTGGACTACTACCTGCGCGGCCAGCGCTGGTGGTTCGGGCTCACGCTCTTCTTCGTGGTGCTCGGGTCGCTGTCGGTGCAAGTGTTCAGCTTCCGCTGGTTTGTGCACGATTTCAGCACCGAGGACAGCGCCGCGGCCGCAGCTGCCTCCAGCTGCCCTCAGCCTGGAGCGGATTGCAAGACGGTGGCCGGTGGTGGGTCTGCAGCCGGGGAAGGCGAGGCTCGTCCTTCCACGCCGCAAAGGCAAGCATCCAACGCCAGCAAGAGCAACATCGCCGCGGCCAACAGCGGCAGCAACAGCAGCGGGGCTACCCGGGCCAGTGGCAGTCACAGGTCTTCGTCCTGCTCCTTCTGCATCTGGCTCCTGCAGTCACTCATCCACATCTTGCAGCTCGGGCAAATCTGGAGGTACTGTATCAGGGGTGGGGGAGGAGGGAGGCTTGCTGCTGCTACTACATCCCCACTGCTTTGCTTTTGCACGGAAATCTTTCAGGGTTGCTGTGGTAGTAACCTTAGTCACACTCTTCCAGTTTTTTGGGGGTTTCTTTTGAACTGGGGCTTGCATTTTTAAAATTTGCAATCTCAGCCTAGGATGGGAGGGAAGTGAGAAGCAAGGGAAGGATAGCAAAGTGGTTTCGATCACCTCTTCCCTCTGTCTTCCCACTCTGCCTCACTGGCTTCTCACTCTTTGCATGCCACAACCCCCCACCCCCACCCCCCGCGTTTTTAGTGATGCTGTTTCAGTGAGTAGGAGAGGATTCCTGTCACATCTTCTAAAACTCCTTTTTTATTATGTTGAAATTGAGGTTTGTGTTGCCATTTGGATGGTTTCTTTTGTTCCCTGGGAAAAAAATTACTAATTCCAGTGAGATGGGAGTTGCTGCTGCTCAAAAGTACCCACATGTTAATGATCACTGCTGAAGAAGTGCTTTGCTCAGAGTAAAGATCCCAATAGGCAAATGACTTGACACACACACACACACACACACACACGTGTATGTATGTATGTGTGTATATATATATCTCCAAGCATGAGTCAGTAAACTTTACAGCGCCCAGATTTATTTTTAGACTGCCCTTTCTGATTATCTTGCCATATCTCCATACCTAATTTCTCATGTAACTATGAGCCTTTGGAGAAGGGGTGGGGCACTGTGTTAACTTTAGTTGTACTTGGCGTATCCGTTGGCCACTTTGCTGCTTGTCATCTGATCTACCGAGTCTTTTTACACAGGGATCACTTCACTTACAAACTGGAATACAAGGCTAAACTTGGGCGGAGGGAAACCACTGCTTGAACAGTCACTGCATGGACTTAGGAACAGCATGAAATAGTATGCTCAGGAATACATTCTTTTGACTTTTATGTGTTATTAGTAGATTTTGAAGCAATATATTACATTTATAAAATCACTTGTATGGAAGTCTGTAGATTCTAACATCTCAGAGCTTTTTTGGTTTTAAAGTAACTTAGTAAATAGGTAGTGTAAGTGAAATGAGGACAATTCCTAGAAAGTACACCAATCTGGGACTACACTCTGTGATACCAGTGCTCTTTTTCAATTTTATTTGTGGATATTTTTGTGATAAAAGATATGAGTTGTTGACTATGCCGAAGTATCCCCTGTGGAAACAACTCAGAGGATTTGTGAAATAGAACCACACACTTCTTTTTATTTATAACGAACAGCCAGGTTTTCAACTGCGAAGAGCAAGTGTGGTGATTTCACAACATTTCCTGTGACCAGTGCTTTGTAATGCAGACTGAACATTGCCATAGATGGTGACCTTTCAGATTGTGAAATTGTATTTCTGTTTTCCAAGCAGATACTTTCTGGGAAAGTGATATTTGATATGCAGTCTGACAAATTGGTGTTGGAAACCTTCATACATATTTTTGGACTCAGAGGAACTTTTCGAAATGCTAGTTAAATGTGATAGCTATGTTTCCCATGGATGACTATTGGGAAGACTTATAGCTAGATGCTCTTCAAGTATGATGAAAGACTTAAGTGCTTAATTTAATTACTGAAGTTACTGAGTGGCTAGGGTGCATCTGATTAGCATTTCTAATCTGATAATATGGTAAATTAAGCTTCACATTCCATTTGTCATCTTTTTCAAATTTTATCAAGCTTTGGAAATCATTTAATTTTAACCGCATTTAAAGTTTCTAGACGTATGTAAATAAATACTTCTCTATCCTAATAACTAAAAAACTGCACATTATTTTTACAGATTCATACTTCATGAAAAATCTGATACCAAATTCTGTGAACCGAGGGAGTCCTTTTAATTATAGGTGTGTTTACCTTCTAAACCAAACATCTTCCCAATTGAAAAATGATGCTTAATTTTCTCAGGGAACAATATACAGAAAATGAAAAATAATTAGGAAAAGATATGGGCCTAAAAACATCTCAGATAGACCATAGTCACTGGGCCAACTTGTCATACAGAAAAGTTATTGCAGAGGTATGGAGTGGGGGTGGGGAGAGAAGGGATGGAAGGGTAAGGTTTGAAAGCAGAAAGAAAACCGCAGGCTGTCAAACAAGTGCATTAACTGACCCCAGCACTTGGAGAAACTGTGGTCACACATAGCTCCTTTTAGTTAAGCATTTCTATAGTATTTTCCTTAGAGACTTTGAAGTTAATACTAACAATATGTGATCATCTAGGAGGAAGTATTATAGTTGGAAGTATTATCAGATATCATATTCTGGAAATATTGTCAACATTTTCAGAATAATGTGTTTTGTAGTTAAGTTTGAATTATCATCTAATCTATTCTCAGATTCTGGTTAAGCTATGTGGGGGATGCCAGAGTAATCTGGTGAAAGCATGATCTAAGACTAATCAACCTCATTTTCTCTTTATGAAGTATATGTTTTTTTAAAAAAATAAAACTTTAGCCTAATGTAGGAAATTAGGGATAAGAAAACTTATGGAACTTAACTCTCAGATGTGCTCTAATATGTTTCCATTTCTCTTGAGTGTTGAACATTTGTATGGAACTTTGGGGTGGTAGATGCATCTTTGATAATAAGCTGATGAAGTGCAACTCATCTCAGATTATTCTATTAGACTCATCTTAGACACTATGATTTCTTAAATTAGAAGCATCTCTCTGCCTCTTGTAGCTTTTCTTTTCAATACATTATACACAAATATTGCAGCGGCACCAGAGTACTGAGTGGTTCAAGGCACAGAGGTCATTATTCATGTTTTAACATGCTACTTTCAGGGATCAATAAAATAGATTTTAGCTAGGTTGGTAACTGCTTATTGTGTTTCCATGAAATTCTAATTATTTTAGGGAAGGACCAGATTCTAAAAGCTTTCTGTAGATATAGTATTTTGAAATAACAACAAAGTGTTGTTTAGAAATTGCCATTGAAATATTGTGGATAAGATTTGCATGTATTTATACATGTATTACAATGCAACTGCTAAAAGCAATGATACATATTCATTTTAATTAAAGTTTACTAATGGGAAATTAATGGCAGCCTTTAAAGTCGCAGGAGGTGATGCTGGGAAAGAGCTATTTGAAATAATGAAGTGAATTTTTGCTACCATGTGAAAAGAGCAATTATGACTTTAAAGGGACTATGCCTGTGAATGAATGAGAAAGTACTTTCCTTTCTTATTTTTTTCACATGATTCCAGAAATTACTAAGAGTGCACTTTAGCCAGTGGGAATCACAAATGCCCAAAGAGAACAGTTTTTTGTCCTCAGCTTTTGATCAATCGCATCCAAATGTCTTTTTCCTTCAGAAATTATGAAGTTTATTCTTAAAATTCTACCTGGATTTCTCCTATGTATGTATGTATGCACATAGTTAATTGTTTACTAGAAAATATGTACATTGTAAATAATAAGTCAGGGGATGGTAGAGTGGGGAGTGTTTTCACTATCCTTAATATTTTGGGTTTTGATTTTGAGTCTCTGTCATGAGAGTTATGTGGGAAAAATGTGGGGAAAACACAGTTTTTTTCTGCTCTTGTCATGCTTGCTCTTCCAGAAGGTATTGATGGCATCCCGTGTTCAAATAGGCTGGGAAAATCACAGGTTAAACAAAGTTAAACATATTTCTCTACAGCAGGACTTCTCAGAGCCTTTAATAAGCTAAGCTACAGTTGTAAGTTTTTTAAAGGCATATCTATTAAATATTCTTATGGTGATGCATGCAAAGCACTTTGATAAAAACACCATTCTTAAATTTGGCCAAACAAGAATAATAACAATTTTATCTGGCACTTTAAAAATACACAAATGTTTTTTCTACTTTTTATGTCATCTAAATTTTAAAATAACCTAAGAGGAAATTATTAGTCCCTGTATATGTGAGAAAACTGGCTTAGAGAGGTTAAGTAACTGGCTTAACCTTTTAATAGGGTCACCCAACTATTATGTAGTGTAGCTAGGATTAAAAACGGGACCTGTTTTATCATACAGTCTATGCTTTTTCTGCTGACTTGGCTACCTCTAGATGCCAGCTTGGATAATAATGACAACAATGTATAAAAATAACAATAATCTTCATTGCCAATGGCAAAGTGGGAAAGGGAGCTGCTGTTTAGACAGATTAGGGGGGTCTTTCCACTAACACACCAGTAGTTAAACAGTAAAACAGAGACTTGAGCTCAGCTCTTTCAACTCTCAGTTCATTGACTTTCTTCCTACACCGTTTGGACACACTGAGGTTGTTTCATTAAATCCCATAAAGGAACATGATCTCTGAGTGGTTTTAATGATTAAATAGCATAATGTATGTGAATATGTGAGAAGTTGTTTGCAAATGATAAAGAGGTTCTAGAGTTAAGGAATGGGTAAAAAAAACTAGAGAGGATATAGGTTACACCTTTGACTTTTGAAAAAGGTGTTTTTTGATTCTGAGTTAGTCCTGAATTCCAGTATAGATTAGGCAAGATTGGTGCCATTTGCTGAGTTTATCAAATGGTTATTTTCTGCATATATGTGTTCCTTCTCTATACATATCTATTAATTAGTCATTCAAAATACACTGCGCACCTGCTATGTACAAGAGACTGTGCTGGTTACTAATTATTCCAAGATGAATAAAATATATATATTTCAAGGAATCTATTGTCTAGTGGGTAGGACAGAAAAGTCAACAGACCATCTCAATAGAGGAAAATAAGCGCTATGATATAAACTGGAAATGCACACCACCTTGATAGTTCAGGTAAGACTCTCTGGAAAGGGGGATATCTGAGCAAAGATTTGAGTGATGAGAAAAATCTGCTTTCTGAATAAAGTGGGATATTGGATTTAGAACCTTGGATACAAGGTGTAAAGGCAGAGAGGCAAGAAAGAACAAGGCGGGTTAAGTGCATGCTCTATATATGGAGTGAGGGAGGGAGAGTAGCTAGAGAGGAAGACA